GATTGCTATATTTCCACAAGATAATATAAATGTCAGCTATGTATGCTGAGGTTTAGTAAATGTGTTTCGGAGAAAAAACCAACACAGATTTTTCAGTATTTTTTTTATATAAAAACATTGAAAACTATCTTACAAGTTATTTGCAATACTCATTAGCACTTGTTTACTTTGAAACTGTTTACTCACACAGAAAACCTGTATATTCTGTAACAAGGGACATTTTTGTTAATGCTTATAGACCTGAACATGTTAATGCAGGCCTACAACATCTTTCTCAAAGCTAGCGCGAAATATCAGATCACCAGCTCTAATAAACTAGCAGTCCTGTATTTGGTTTTACATTCACTATGTCCTTACTTACATTCATCAGCTATCTTGGAGAGGAATGTGAAAAACAAAACTTCCATTATATACATGATTAAAAAATGATTTACTGTAGATAAATGTTTGGTTCATAAATCATCTAGCCAATCTTTGACATCAAAGAACAGTTTCTCAGGGTCAGTGACCAGGTCACTTTTCTGACTATCAGAATCGACCACTTGTCCTGTTTCTGTGTTAAGGATACGAATTGACACGTTATCCTGGATGTAAGCTGTGGCCGGCTGCGTGCCTGACTTCGATGGCCTTCTAACAGAAGTGGACTGTGGATTTGTTTGGTTTGTCCTAGGATCCTCGTCACTGCTGCTCTCCTCAGAGGGTTGGTATGTCTTGTCCTCTCTCTCCGATAAATCGGAATCATCTGTAATACTTTCCTGTGAGAAAGGTTTCTGGTGGGACAATGGTGGTGTCACCTTTGCTCCATACATGACATATCCTGGATGTACCTGTGAAGTCGGCTGATTAAGTTTATGTCCAGCAGAGTTATTTCCCTTCGGGCCACCTGATTTCTGCGAGGGTTTTATTTGATTACCTTGCGAGTCTTTGGACATACTACCAGTCAACTGTTTGACCTGGATACCTCCCTTGTTGTATACTATACCAGTGGGATACGGTCTTTGTATAGGTAAGTTAGCTCCCTTTGGTTGTCCAGCACCTTTGCCACCTTGTCCTGTGCTGCCAGCCTTTGGTGCTGACTGGTATTCACCCCCCTGTAGTAATGTCCGTAAGCTATTACCACCACCTTTCTGGGAGCTGGCAATACCTTTTCCTATGTGTGGTCCACCTTGCTGAACTTTATCGCCTGCCTTTCCTGAATTTGTCATCATGTCCCCTTCATCATCAGATGATGAAATTTCAATTACCTCTATAACCTTTTTGACAGGTAGAGAGGTGGCTGGATCGCCCTTCCTGCTGTAGTCAAACTTGGGGGAGAGTCCAATGTTAGGTGTGGCAGGAGTAGAGAGTCCAATGTTAGGTGTGGCAGGAGTAGAGAGTCCAATGTTAGGTGTGGCAGGAGTAGGGAGTCCAATGTTAGGTGTGGCAGGAGTAGAGAGTACAATGTTAGGTGTGGCAGGAGTAGAGAGTCCAATGTTAGGTGTGGCAGGAGTAGAGAGTCCAATGTTAGGTGTGGCAGGAGTAGAAACAGGAGACGGTGCTGAGGAGTTATTTGGATTATATGGCTTAAACCCACAGGCTCCCTTACCACTCACTGATAGGGACTTTCCTTTTGTTTCGCCCACAAATCTTTCCTTGGGAATATTTGTCTTGACTGTGGAAATCAAACTGGACTTCTGGGTACTGGTTGAAGTCTTCTGCATGACCTTTGACCTACTCACTCCAGTGGTAGGAAGCTTCCCAGGTAATCCTACCCCCTGTGTACCAGACTTTGCTGTTGTTTGCTTCACAGTTCCTGGGTTAAGTTTACCTCCGGCAGGCATCCCTACACCAACAGGACTTGGTAACTGTTTTGGTTTCCCAATGGGCGACTCGGATGCTGACATAGTCCTGTAGAAATTCTCCTGGAATGGTGAAATAGGACCTTTCTTTTCCTTCTCCAATAACTTTGATCCTTGTGTCATATTAGTGGCACCTTGACTCTGCCCCCCAACTTTGCTGAGCAAGGAAACAGGTTTCTCAGGAGAAAAGAAAGAGGAGTCTGATTGGTTTCCGTCTTTTCCAGATGTCTCTAAGATAATTTTACCAACAGGCTGGAAGAGAAAAAATTATAAATATTAGATTTGGCGTCAATAACAATGATGAATTTTTCATTTATTACTCATGCATAAAATGCTACTCAATTATTTATGCAAATAATTATCTCATCCAATCTACAGCATTGTGACAATAATGTAGTCTTTTTTAGCTCTTTTTAAATTCAGTTTCCTGTATATTGTTTTCTGTTACATATTTTGTGGGTGCCCCATTTCATCAATGCACTAATCTGTGTAAAATCTGAGTGATCTAAAACTATTACGCTTGCAGTATCTAATTACATTGGAATCCGGGAAATACTCAGCTGACTTTGTGAGGCAGTAGTCTATGGAAATAAACTGTATGTTCCCGTGGTAAGTTATAGTTAGTAGGTTATTGTATTAATGGCTGATGACACATTAAGTGCTGACTGTGGACATGAAACACTAGTTATAGTTAGTAGGTTATTGTATTAATGGCTGATGACCTGATACATTAAGTGCTGACTGTGGACATGTAACACTAGTTATAGTTAATAGGTTATTGTATTAATGGCTGATGACCTGATACATTAAGTGCTGAC